CTGTAATTGATCCAATTTCGCTTGTCCCGCACTACTGACACACTTACTTCCATCGTCACCATCAAATAATTCGGAAAGAAGAGATACATCAAAGAATACATTTCTGCAAAGGTCAAGAAAAAAATCAATTTGATAACCAAACATTTTTAGAATTTTTTTCTTACGAATTTTAAATTTGAAGAAATCTCAAAATCATGAATTAAATAAAAAATTCCAAAATCGAGAAAAGTACCCATAAACTGATGTGGGTATTCGATTAAGTTTTACCATTACTCCAACTGAACGCAAACCCGGAATGAACTGTAGCACAAGGGTTACACAGATATCGTCTAAAAATGCAATTAGATCTATTTTACGTCATGTTCTTTTGTTCTTTAACTAGCTCCACGCAATTCAAATGTATTACTGTGCTATGAAACAAAAACAAAAATTCAATTTCTGATCTAAGAATTTGAAATTTTCGCAATTATAGGATAAACTAGAAGACTTGAAAATAAAATTTTTCAATGAGATAATCTTGTAAGTTTTAAAGTAATACTGCAAATTTTAACTGACCCTGACAAGCGATTTCCATTTCAATATGAATTGGATGAGGAGCAACAATGGCATCTTTTCGTTCAGCAATTAATTCTTTCATGGTCATATGCCTTCTTTTGTCATGACGTGCCGATGGTGACTGTTTTCCGCTCACCTGCAATCACTATCAATAAATAAGAGACAGAATGTTTTTCTCCACAAAGCAAAAAAATAAAACTTTCGTTAAAATGCAGCACTGAAAATAAAATGATTGATTATTTGGGAAATAATTTTGTGTTGGATGAATTTTAGCATCTCATAATACTAAGGACTTCTTAAATAATTGAGTGAAGTGCTTTTCCGATGATAACAAAACCAAATGCTGAATGCGATGGTTTCGTTATTTTCGAAGAATACTTAGACAGTACTTATGACACAGTCGTATAACTACTTAGTTTAAACAAAAGCAAAACTAAAGCAACCAGATCCTTGATGAGAGTTGACAGAAAACTGGAACAAAAATCTATTCAGATTTTTTTCCAATAATGAACTATTTTATATATCCCTATATTAAGTGGATTAATTAAATTAAAAGGAATGAAATCATTCTTCATTTGAGAAGATATAATATATATTTGCTTCATATTCCAAAAAAGAGTTAAAATAATTCACATCATCCTGACTATCCTCATCATCGACATCTTCAATGATTTCGCAAGCACGCTGTCGATTTTCCAAGAACTTCACAGCACTTTCGTAATCACCTTTACATTTTAGTATTATTCCTGTTTCTAGAAAAACATGCATATTTAAATACTGCTAATCATTAGTAAATTTGTTTTTACATATTATTTTCCAACTTTTTTGAAGACAAGTGGACAGAAAGTACTAAAGATTTGTAGTTCAACGATCAGAAATAATTGTTTATATCTTCTCGAAAGTATATATGTCGAGTGTAAAATGAATTTGTACGGAATAATATTGAAAAAAAAAACAAGTCAAAAACATTTTTCTAAAGATCAAAAAATTTATGAAAATTCTTCAGAACAAAAAACATCAGATTAACCTTTAACAATATCACAGTAAGCTTCAACCTGTATAGCAATTACAGAAAGCTCCTGAGATAATAGGGATAATACGCGCTCTTTTTCAACATCAATAGGATTGCATGTCAGTCCCATCAGCTCCTGTACCGGTCTTGCTGCCTAAATCACATGGAGATAAAGTATATTTCAGAGTCAAAAAACATTTTCTAAAGTCAAAAACATTTTCCAAAGATCAAAGAAATCTGTGAAAATTCTTTCAGGATAAAAAAAACATCAGATGAGCAAATATTGCGTAAAAGCAAAAATAGCAAAGAGGAGTTGGCGTGACAGAAACAGTCTGTTAAAATATAAAATATGAAAAAAACCTCAATCACGGCTTCGATACGTGGTTTCAATGACTTTAATCGATGTTCTTTCGTTGTAATGTCAGTGATGAGTACATTTTTTCGTCCTTCTCGTTCTTGCAAAGTTCCAATCAAACTGCAAAAAAAGAAAATATTTCATGTAAAAAATATTTCATCAGATAAGTATTATTGATTTTTATTTAATTTTACACGGAAAAGCTTTCATATGAATAAACACAATAATTATGCGTTTCACAAGCCAAAGAATTATGTTGATGTCCCTGTGAGTTCTCTAATGATCCAAAAAAGCAAATTTTCGATTTTTTCATCAAACCCAAAAATTTATATAAACAAAAATAAGCAGTTGTAATTTCATGCTCTGTTTTGTTCTTTCTTATTTATTTATTCCTGATTTCGTAAAAACAAGAGAGAACGCAGAAATAGTATTCAAGAAATTCTATGATTAAATAATACTTCTTACGCTCCTCCATCTCCCAGTTCAATCGAGCTAGATGTTGTCTATGCTGATCCTCACGAGTGATTTCCTCCTGCGAGATACTTGCTGGTGCATTTGCGTAGAATTCTTCCAGTGGAATCATTTCAATATCCTCATCAGCTGACCTAAAATTTCGACAGAAAAAGTAAAAACTTACAGTCTAACGATCGTAATTCCCAAGCTCAAAAAACTGAAGACTTTTTGGATACATTTCTACTGCTTTTTAGAATTGAATCTGGCATATTTTCAATGCAACAGATGCTTACCTGAAGTCATAACATCTATCAATCTCCTTCTGCAAGTGTTCAACTTCACTCCGAACGTTTTGCAGCTGAAGAAATCGTTCTTCAACAACAGCCCGCTCTCGATTTACTCGGTCACGAATTTGTCGATTTCGGTATTGGGCCAAACGATTCAATCGTCGCAAAGATATGAATAGCGAAAGTAACGATTCTTCAAAACTTGATGTTTCTGCCGGCTGTAACGGTCACTGTATTTCAAGCGAAAAAAAATCTGGACTTCAAAAAGAAATTCAAATGTGAAATTAAGAATGAAAATTAAACATGGCCTATCTTGACTGTATTATGAGTGAAGTTGACAAGTTTTTGTCTAAGCATTTGTGAATGTTCCAAAAAAGACTCTTCAATTGATGCCATAGTCATTAACAATGCCTCCTGATCTTCCCGTTCATAAAATTCCTTAAAAATGAATCTTTTAAGATTAATCCAGCTTTCAATGTGATATCACCGGTATTACTTAAAAAAAGCAGGATCAATGTTCTGATCTTGAACTCTTTATCTCACTTTTACTTGTCACTTTTGCAGTTGCACTCAAGAGCCTTTAATTTTTCGGAGTTAACATTCTCGAGAAATAAACTACTAAGCGGGTCTGAAGTAAAATGAAGTATATTACCGAAACAGTCTTTGTGATATGCTCCTCAGTTTGCTTCTTCTTCTCTGCAGACTGTGTGCCAGCAGCTGATCGAGCACGTTTCGCTGACATCTAAAAACCTAACATTCCATATCTCATAACTAACGATAAAATCTAGAATTCAACAATAATCATGCGGATATTTCATCATTGAAATATAAGGATCGAACAACATCACACTTCATAATAACCTTCCTGAATTGTAAATACCCTGAATATACACTACATAAACCAATTCAACAAAAATATTTAATATGAAATAATAATCGGAAAGAAAATCCAAGAATATTGAAAATTTTCCTTTATTATTAAAAATGAAAATTCTTAAAATGCAAAAAAAGCGCCAGATCGGAGCAAAATAAATAAAGATAAAAACAAATCAACACCAAGTTGAAAACCCATGGGTAAAATAAAGCACACCGTGACTGGAAACAAAAAAATGAGCAATTTTAAGAATTTACTTATTAGTTTCTTTCCAATAGCAATTCTCATTCTTTCTAATCCTTATAAGAACGAATGCGCAGGAATGTAACACGTAAATAAAACAAATATGTGCAATTTGGTTCATCAATTAAAACAATTATGCAAACCTAAAAATTATTCAAATAAGTAAACACCGTTCAGTGTAACGAAAACATAAGTAGGGAGAGCTTCATATATCATCTGTGACGTATTTCCATAAAGCTAAAAAATCTGAAAAATTAATGCGATAACAAAGTTAGGACTTAATCACTGATGTCAGTCATATATTTCAGCTCTCGATATTATATTTAACCAAATAAAAGAAAACAGACAAGGCACTCATAAATATTAAAATAAGACAAAAGGAAAAACAAAGACATAAAGAAATAATCATTTCGAACATTACATGAAATTCTAATAAAATATAGAATTCCAAAAAAAAGTTATAAGAAAAAATTTTTCACATAATTTTTGAAGAAAAATTTATCCTTAAAACTACATTGTGATAACATAAACCATCTCTCAAACGTTGAAGCTGTAAAACATTGGGAATTTTTCTTCTGGCGTAAAATTTCTGCAAAATCAACGTATCATAATTTACTAATATGTCAATTAGCTTATTTTAGTGATTTTTAGGAGCCTAAAATAAAATAAACCAGAAAAATATGACAGTTGAATGCTTGAAACTGAATCAAATACATGAATGATACTACTAAAAACAGATTACGCAGTGGGAATTACTGAAAGCCATAAATGATATCTCGCTATAAAAACTGATTAGTCATTCCATAATAACTAAAATTTAATCATACAACAGTTCAGTGAATTTTAACTTACAAAGATAGATAAAATAAGGCACCAATGACTATCAAAATTGATAACATTCCCGCATGGGAGAAATATAATTAAATTCAAAAAATTAAAAATTGGCGACAAACAGATGAACAGCGGTATTCCGCAGCAGACCATAATGGATTATGCAGTTTTTGCTGCCTATTCATTACCAAATAATTGAAATTATAGTCCATCAAACACTTGAACGCGAGTCTTTGTTGCTCCAGCACCGCTCTGCAAAACTCATAGCTGCTAAATGTTATAATTAAGAAATCCGGTTAATAAAAGCTCTAAATGTTGAACTTACTGGTAAAATCACACTGTTTCACGAAGAAAAATCAAAATGTGAATAAAACAAAAGTCATGACCTAATATTAACATGCAAATTTGTTAAATAAGTTGTGCTCGTAATTGTCTACTACTGCATTACTGCAAAAACTATTCAGAAATTACTGAAAGACAAAGTCACTACTCCATTGCGGCATATTTTATTTTTAATTCATAGTAATAAATGGGATACTTCACGCAGGTGACACCTCCAATATAACAAAATTAATGGCACTAAAAACATGAGTGTCAACAAAGTTATAAAGGCTCATTCCAATGATTTTTGATTTTAAGCACAGCAAAAAACACGCTCGAATTATGTTGAAATTACCTTATAAACATGATATGCATGTGCTTCAGCAGTTGACTGCAATACGAAGCTTATTAGGAATTATAATTTCCACTTATGACAATAAACCAACGGTTTAAATCAGTGGATGAGGTGATGAAACAGTGGGAGTGAGACAAAGATCATACCTAATAGGTAATCGGCGCTATCGATAAGCAGTATCTAACGGAACAGATCCAAGAGAATTCTGTGCTTCTTTTCCTGGATATAAAAAAATTACCTTTCTAAGTGTGGAATACTTGTCAATACCCATTTGTAGATTAGTTGCATGAATTCGATCATGTTCCGACTGGCGGTCTACAACCTTCAAGCTTTCAATTTCATTTCGAAATTCGGTCATCTTTTCTTTAAGACTTTTTTTTTTCTCATTATAGTCAGCCCTGCAATAATCGGAACCTATTAGTATCACAGAGTAACAAAAATACGAAGTACTCTATTTTTTCCTTTCGAATTAATTCGTGTCAGAAGATATTTCATAAAAAATATTTCAAGCACCTGGATTTTTCAATTTCTGTCCGTAAAGACAAAAGATCATTTGGCATCATTTGATTGCTGGAAGGATCGGGCGGTGGGCAATTCAACAATGATTGTTTCTTTATAAACAAAGATGGATGTGTTTTAATTATCGGTGTGACAGCAGCTGTAAAGTTTGAATCGTCATCTAGATATTGCACGTAACTACCATCGCCACTGCTTGACGATGACATCAAACGATGATGATTGATATAACGTTGTGGGACAGGCAGAGCGCACGCTGATAACCAATCCTGAAAATAGGTGTACAATGCTTACATGATAAATAGATTTTGAACATTTGATTTAAATACTAAACTTTGCATCAAGGCAACATGTAAATTTAATATGATTCAAAGATGGCTGTGTGAGAACATCCCAAACCAAAGATAATCTAGTTGGTGAAAAATAGATTACACCATTTTATTAATATTTCATGAACGAGGTCCATCTTACAGCTCCAAAAAACGTAATCCTTATGATCACTCATTTAATTAACCTATTAACATTCAAACCTGCGGCCAATTCGGTTCTGAGTCATATAAATGTGCACGGCATAAGTATGGATCGTAACCATGACGTTCTGTTTCATGCATTAAACGATGAGCCCAAAGTTCGGCATCACGTGCCTTCCGCTCCAGAGACATTTTCGTTTCTTCCGCCCAAAAAACAAATTTCTTTTAAACTGAACATATTGGACTTATAATAAAAATTAGCTTTTGTAATTCTGCTGTATGTTTTTGCGTCATTCATTTAATGGAATGAATCAAATTGTCATATGCAAGCAACACTAAACAACTGCAGACAAAAATGTGTGCATGTGCGTATATGAAAATTTTTTAACATAGAAATGTAAGATCTTTTCGACCCACGATTTGTTAATCTGAAGCACTTAACGATGTTTTATTTATTTAATGTAAGTACTATCGACGGTTTGATGAACTTACAGTTTAAGGCTTACTTCAATAAATGTCTCCACTACTTTATCGTAATTATCTTTCGATTCTTTCATAGAATAGAATAATTTAAACTTCGAAAAAAGTGAATTCGAGGTCCTACTTTGATTTGTGAAAGTTTCATGCGCTGGCATTCTGCTTCAGCCTCGCTGGCTCTTTTTGACAATACGAGAGCTTCCTCTTCCGATACTCGCGCTTTTTCTGCCATCAAATGAGCATTTTCTTCAGTTTTCTTCATAGCCTCCTAAATAAAGGCAGTTTTTTTGGAATAGAATATAGATCTACTGACATCGAAAATAAAACGCACAAACTCAGAATTATTATTCAGCTTTTTTCAAAGTTATTCCAAAAACCGCGCAAGAATATTCCGGTGTTTCAATCCAAATCTCTTAATGGTAGCGCAATCACATTTTATATATTTTTTCATACCTTCATGTTACGTAGTTGATCATTAATTGCAGCTATTTCATTTTTATATCGATCCCGTTCCGCTTCAGCTTGTATACGTTGCTCTCGCTCACGAGATAAACGATTTTGTTCTTGCTAAAAAATCGTATATTAACGCATACGAAAATACATATAGAAAACAGAGATTGAGATACTGTAAAAATCTTAAAAATGATCCTAATGTCAATATCCCATGAAAATAAAACATTTCTTCAGTAATACAATTTTTTCCATCAAAAACAAACAATTCGTCTAATCCTCTGCTCTTTCGCCTGAGCTTTCATTTGCTGTACTTCCAGCAAATCTGGTTGACGTCTTCGTAAGTATAAATTATGAGTACCAACACACAAATCTAATATACTCATATTGATGGAGATATCCTTTGCACGAAATGTGATTGTACTCTTGTCCATTGTCCTCATATTAAACTAAAATAAAGATATTCTGTGTGTGCTGAAAATGCTATTTATAAATCTTATTTTTTAGTTCATCCATTTCGCCCAAACCTTTTTAATCAAACTTAAACTAAAAATATCAATGTTATATAAACATTCTACGCATCATATGCTGTCAACGGTGCAAAAAAATATTAAATTCCAAAGAAAAAACACATTAATATGAAGGTCTTACAAAACTGTGAATCTAAGAACCATAAACCTACGACTTTATTCTTAAATGAAATATTCTTGATTTCGCTCCAGGAAAAAAACGGCCTTGGTGTAATTCGATTAGATTCTTTGTAAATCCCAATTCCTTGTGCTGATACACCGAGCGTTAAATCTGTTTCTTTACTGTTCTATAACATCACTGATTGCTGTGAATCATCTAAATCACACAAATCACACAAATGACTCACTTAAATATCTTTTAAAAAATCAAAAGTGATCATCTAGCTAAGCAATATGTTACAACTCTCCGAAAATCAATAAACAGAAAAAGGATAAGAATAACAGTAAATAATAAAATTTTCTTATGAAAGCCAATTAACCACACAATTTAAAACAATAAAAGAAATTTTAAAAAACTAACACATATAGGGTAGTACTGAATTCCATACATCTCTAAATCTTGTGCAACCCGTAGATACTCCATTTCTGCATCTTCTCTGTAACGTTACTTTACTCTTCCAAAAAGCAATAAGACTACCCGAGTAACACAGTTCTAGAAATAAAAGTACGATCTAAAGAACCAAATTTCTTTGTTGAATTTTTAGCAGCAAAAAAAAATCATAGCTACATGAAATTACCTGCTTTGTCCACTATTATTTATCCACCATCGTTTGATGCGTTCCTCCCACATCTGTGGTGTCATATCGTACTGCTTGATTACGCATTCTGGCAGTAATTCACTTAACTGCAACTTCGAACTCTCCACACAATCACCTTGCTGAAAAACTTGTCTTCTTCAATTCACAATTTTGTAAACTTCGTCAGAAATAAAAAGAAGCAAGACTATGCATTACTCATTCCGGAAGCAACTGCAGAGTACATCCTCAAAAGAATTTTTGTAATTAGTAGTTCCTTGCAGATAATATAAACTTACAATTGCCTGCACAGCATAAGATGCAAGAAGAACAGATGCTTCGGCCGAGCAATATAGCTGCATGCTTAGAATACTTTGTTTGATTTGAAGGAAGAAAAGATGACGCGTTATATCTTGTATCAATTCCTCTTCGACATCTTCTGGATAAAACTTCACAAGAAATATGAGATGCATTGAACCATCTTCCTGCTTTGGCACTTCCTGTTTATTTATCTAAAATTCAAGAAATTAATAAGTGAATAATGACAGCTTGATGAGTTATGAAGGAATCTGATAGCTGATATTACCAGAATAAAAACATGACAAGTTATACTAACAAGGTGAAATATCACAATAATGATAGCTTAGAAATATATCGATGAATTAAAGTGCAAAACCTTCCCAAATGCGTTCGAAAAATGAAACATAATTTAATTTTTAAAGTATATAATATGTAATGATTACTCTCTTACTCATTGAAATGTTTATGCATCACATCTAATTCCAAATATGCAAAATTTTTAACCACAATTGAAGTCGAAAACATTGAAAATAGCGAGAATTTAATAGCAGATAAAATACTTTTCATCGATCTTTAATATTAAACAAACCTTCTTATCCATTTGTAACCAACACGGAATCCCCTTTTTGTTCACAAACTGTAATCCAAAAAACCAAATCTCTCTTAGACCGATAATTCTGCAAACTGTATCAAACAGCTGTCGTCCTGTACAATCTGGCTGCAAAATTTTGCTGGAAAATTAGAAGTGATAAAA